TATGTTGAATACCGTATAGAGGACATTCAAAACTCGCCTAAGCCAAGATTTCATTCCATTACTTGTATCACTGATCATTATTAACGCTATGCTAACAATCGTAGATGGGCATCGAGTGGTTATATGTCAATCATTAATACACAACAACTACCATCGCCTTATGATTTCTTTACATTACTTTATCATGGTTTATTGTTTTTCAAGATTCACTTCAATGCTAGTATAGAGTTTACTAATCTAAAGAATCTATCTCAGCTGGAATTAATGACGTGTTTCAAGTAACTATTCTCAATAGCGCTGTCCATTACTTTCACAACACAAATCTAACGATGATATTCCCCACACCATCCATATATATATTTTTTTTTTTTGGTATGTTGAACAGAGATGGACTAAGCCAATAGATTTGTGGCTTATATGTCCAACACCATCCATATACGATGCAATGAGCATTATAGTAATGTTTTCGCAGGGTTTAAATTAGTCTTTCTTCTCGCACTCTGGTTTTTTTTGGTTTCTAGTTTTGAAAAATTTCGGATATTTTTTTGTAAATATGAAGATGACCTTGAAGAGGGAAGCATATGCAAACTCCGTAGCAAAAAAAAACCGTTTTCTGTTTCTTATATGTCTATCAGCGAAATTTAAGGGACAATCCGCTCCTAACAATGTGTCGGACGACTGTATGTCGACAAGTAACCTAGATATGGCGAGGAATATTGTACTTTGAACATGTTATCAATATACTGAATCACTTCACCGATAAGAACTATTTCTAAGCTAAAGCACATACATCAAATCTATACTTAATACAATTGTTTGAGGGTTTTTTTACACACACATATCGCTGTAAGATATACTCATTTTATTTTTTTCTCATAATATATGTAAAATCGAGAAGGAAGTTTTAGAGACTCTATAAAGTACATATATTCTTGATCAGCGCGAAATCATGAGTTGATTCAGGCTATGTCCAGCCGTCTGCATGTCTGTGCGTTGTGTATTGTTAGCGCTGTCCTGATTGTAAAAGGTAGCGAAGGTATTGATTTCATATTTGGTAGAAACATTGGAAACTGGGCCAGATTGGTCAGAGCAGAAACGTGCAGTGGAGCAGAAACGCGCATTGGAAGTTAGAATGCTGAAATTTCCCACATTTACTTTAGGCAGCATTCTACTCCTGACGTGCAAAAATGGAAACCATCGGCCATGACTACACAAAGCTACAAGTAATTAAATTTTATTTTTTTTATTTTCGTGAGGCACGCCAGATATAACACAATACAACAACTTACATTTACTTAGCCTTACCATAGTTCAGTAGAATAAGAATTCAAGCAAAAGAGTCGAACGATCGAACCTCTCAGCATTTTGTACTGATTATAAATTTTGAATGAATGTTTCCTTGGCCTTTGGGTATACGGGCGACATTGAAAACATACTACAAAGCTTAAAATTTACGTTATTCAAGGTGACAATGTCATCTTTTGATAAAATGTCTGGACGTCTGGATGTCAAAACCGCAAAACATTCTCATAGTACAAAAATTGAATCGAAATGCACAGGGCTCAGCAGATTTAACTACATGCCAGTGTAGGATATACTTCGTTTCCAACATAGGTTTGCAACGCCATCAAGACAACACCCTCGCGAACCCCAACACGAACATCCATCTCGGACCCCCGGGTTCTAAAAAACTCCCACGAATGCCATTCGGGACATATTCGGACGTCTTCGGGTGGGCGCGAACACCAAAAAAGGCGTGATTCCACCTTTCGGGTGGGATGAACCACACCTTTTTTTATCGCAAAACCCACAAAAAAGGCGTGTCGCATCCCACAAAAAAACAATGACATATCAAACAACAACTTTTTTCAATGTAGCGCATCCCAAAAGTCACTATTACCGACCAAATCTATATCTTCCGTCTCTTTCTAACAAAAATTGCACAGTGCCCCCGGACATACGCATATTACCTACTATCCAAATTTTCCAGTTAGGAAAATTCCAGTTCCTCTCCTAACTTTCTTATAAATTTCTTATTTTCCACAAAATCAGAATAAGAAGAACGAAAATGAAAGATATAACGCGCAAAGCCACTTTTTCCTATCGAACAAAGCTTCCATTTCGAATAAGAAATATTTTGACTCGCTCGAGTAGAAAATGAAAGCTCAACACTTTAGCTATTTGTTGATTTAAGGCGCGTAAATAATAACCTTTTGCTTTATATTGATATGACCACGCACTTTGTCTTTGTATAGTAGACAGACTTTGCTGTATAGCAAGCACACCTCGATTACCGACAGAGAATGTAAAAAATTTGGAAAAATTTTAAAAATTCGCTACACAGAGCAGACAGATAAGTTTTTTGCTTTAATTTTTCGATTCCCGGTGGAAGAGACCGTAAATTGTGCTTTACTACATCATATTGTTATGAAATTCGCTTTTTACAAGATACAGTCCGTATCACTAGAACGTGGATATTTTGATCAAGAGAAATACACTTCAAGGTTCTTTTATTTTCCTACTCTGTCTTTCACAACAATAGGAATATTTATTTACGATATATTTTGGCCGTACTCTCAACTTCTACGTTCTTGCCAGACTAACTCTACTTTTCACAAATATTCGATTTATATACAATTTTACAAGAATGTTACTATACCTAAATTGATGGTTATGGTCTAATCCCAGCTTGGTTTTTCCTCTAATCGTTTCCATCGGCTTGCACCTGCATGACGAGCCTGCGAATATGCACTTAGCTTTTACCTGTTTGCTTTTCCACTAATCGTTTTCATTGGCGCGCAGCTGCATGAGGCGCCTGCGAATGCTCATTTGGTTTTCCCTTCTTTAGGGAATTTATTCTTACGAAAATTACTTAGCTGACATTTAACTGAATTTGGGATTTTCGTAACAATATGTATGCATGTGTAATATATAATATTAAAAGATTCAGGTACCATTTATTATATTAAATGATAAATATCAAAAATAGTTAGTTGATTGACTTTGGGACCGTTTACTTATGGAGCGGGCAGCCATATGGAAACAAGATTCATCGTTTTTTTTGCGCATTTCATTATAGAAATAAATAAAGAATTGTCTTAGATGAAGCGATGATCGGAGTAGCATATGCAAATGTGGTTGAGTATTTGCTGGTTTATAATGTTAATTAATTTTAAAAACGTTGAACATTGATAATTGGTTTAAATAAACTATAAGGGGATGTATTTATTATATATATATACATTTTTTTTCCAAACAAATTGAATTTTCACCTACGATAGTAACGCGAAGCGTTCGACTAAGGCTTATGAGCGATAAAATATTTAAATTTCGAAATAGCCAACAGAAAGTTACGATCTTGATTCTATTGCGATTTGATGGCAACCATTTAAAGCAAAGATTGATTGGAATGGATGTAAACGTAACGATGAACTTTGAGAAGGCATCGAGCCACTCTTCTATGCTATAATGTAGAAAAAGTTTTAAGAAATGTAACAAAACACACTCACCGCCTGTCTTGCGGTAGTATACAATTCGAAATGCACCTCAAGAGCTTGAATTATGAATAGTAATAAAGAGAAAATAGTTTATGTTTAACTCATCATCTTAGTTGATTTGAATCTTTTACAGATGAAGGTATTGCGCTGGTCCTGTGGCCCAAGGATTAGTTTTGATATCGTTTTTTTTTTTTTCTTTTTGTATGTTAGAAGTGATCAGACTAGGCCTGTTAACAACTAAGCCATTGTATCCAGGTGTATGTGTTGAGTTTTTAACAGGAGTCGTTCTTTTGAGTTTATAGTTGATAGCAGCAGTAAAGACGATAAGCTTTGGTTTTCACTTAATTATTTTTGTTGATTGGTTGATGATTCGATGATGTTGGTCTCTCTTTATTAGGAGTTATTCATGTTGTAGTAGTGCATTCAATATTCGCCCGCTCGTCTGTCCATCTGTCGCTCTGCCTACCGGTGTAGTATTTGTGGTGAGGGTTCTTCCGTTAGCGAAAATGAAGACATCGCCTTTAAACTTTTATTATTGAATTCTAGGGCTGAAAGTAGGATCAACAAATTAAAAGTTGCTGTGTGCCTCTATAAAGTAATTTCCAATATAACTGACGTCAGTAGCTAACAAAGAATAAAGGGAATCTCCGGGAATGTTATCCAAGTCACGGCTATGTTATCCAAAGTTCTAGGAATAAATGTATGCCGTGTTTGCTTTCATATCCGTTCTCGCGTTCTGTAACGTTAAGAGGAATAAGACTGCCTAAATGATGACCATTGCTCTATTTCTAAAGGGGGCACTGGGTAAAGGCATTATATTTTTAAGTGCACCATTGGACAAAGTCGAATTAAACATTCGTATTCAGGTGCCCGAGAAAATCTCATATAGCAATCTATTCTTGTTTATAATGCCAAAAAAATTGAAATCAAGCCAGAAATCTTCGAAATCTTTTTTTTTTTTTTTTTTATTATTCTCAAAGTGTTGTACTTGAACTAATAAAATTCAAGTTGTCGTTAATAACTTTACATATGGCGTATGTTTAGGTGTTTAGACAATAAAAAATATGTAAATGTATGAAAATAGTTTTTCTTATATGTTTAACAAACATTGCATGTGCAGGCAGTCGATTGAAAAAAAAAATTAGAATTGAAATTGCGATATAATGCAATTGAATTGGAAGTTTTACAAGAAAGTGAAAACTTCTAATCAGCAAATAAATGAATGACAGTTACAGAGTATGACACGTAGACATCTAGCTGCAGTAAGACTTACGTATATACGAAAATATAATAGAAATGCTTTAACGCCTTTGAAAAATATGAAATTAAAAATCAGTCATTATAACATATTAAAAAAAAAAAAGAAAGAAGCAAATGCTGTTAGCATAGCCAGCCGAACTTTCTTCGCAGCAAAAACTTTCAAAAGGAAATTATTATCCTGAAGCCCTTACAACTTAACTGACGTTTTAAGAGAAAATTAAAAAAAAAAAAAAAAACAAAAGAAAAAGAGAAAGAGAAAGGGAAAGGGAATGGCTTCTCAATTTCAGGCACAAGGAGGAACTCCAATAACTACCGAAATGGCTACAGTAAGGCAGAAAAAACTATTTTTTTACAAAAAAAAAATAAAATTGAGAATTTATTTAGTTAAAAAAAAGCAAAAAAAAAAACAAGCTATTTTTTTTTCTCATTCTTTAAGGAACTGAGGCAATTGGTCTTTGGCACCTCCGCGATACCTATGAGAGCTGAATGGACGCATACACCCTTTACGTTCGGCTCATCTAAAGAGGAATTCTCTTATGGGTTGCGATCACCGCGTAACGCGACACGTGGCTTATTATCTGTAGTTCAGGGTTTCATACTGAAATACGTGCTTTTCGATTATAAATCGGGCAAACAGAATACAAACGAGTATGAATGCATGTTTTTTTTTTTTGTTTTTCTTTAAGCCACGACATCCAGGAAACTTGATAGTTTTTCCCTAATTGACACAATCCTCGATACTCAGGATTTGAATTTTCCTTTTTTTTTTTTCTTATGGAGAATATTAGTAAATAAAACGGTGTTAGCAGGGTTAGATAGTGCAATTTCTTAATTTGGGGCGTGTCAATTAGTTAATTAAATCAATTGCCAGATCGGATGAATTGCTTAATCAAGTCAGTTTCGATACCGGCTCTTGTGAATGAATGTAAAATAATATCTATGCAAATTTGTAAGTCATTCAATATAATAATGATTGTTGTTGTTTTTCAGTTTCAATATTCATTAGCTATAGCGAGACGGATCACAGGCCATCTTGAAGGTCATGCCTGCCATAAAATAAGAAATAATATAGGCAAGTTGGCTCATAAGAATGGCGAGGACGTCTAGTCGCCTAGACTAGATATGCATCAAAGTCGTCTCACAAGAGTAGATGGATAAATAGAATAGAAGAAGAAGATGAGTGTCTGCTTATCAATTTATTGAAGAGTTTTTCAGTCAAACAATTGATGAATTCGATGCATGCGCTATTATGTATATAAGAGTAAATTTATTTGGCGGTGTTTGGGGAAAAGCTTACCGCTTTCTTGTCTGATAGTGTGATAGTGAGTGAGAAATTCAAATAACGTACATAATTTGTTAGTAGTCGTCGTGGTCACTCATCAAATCAAAGAATATTTTAAATGAAATGATGATATATATGTATATATATATATATTATATGATTAGCGTTTTATGCCTATCCGGCGATATACAAAAGGCGGCTTTAATTTCGGCTTTGATGGAAATTCTACGCACTATCGCCGATAAGGGTAAAGTTACTATGGTCTTACCTTCACCCGACGATGAAATATTTGTGGAGCATAGTGCCACTTATTTTCACGATTCCATAACCGAAAAGGTCTTTAAATTGTAATTTCAATTGTTTTATAAAATTTTTTAAAAAGAAGAAAAAACCAAACTATTTCGCAGTTATATATATTCACCTTGAATCCTCACGATGAACTGGAATTCTTTATAAAACGCCATTATAAGCATGTATGTAAATGCAATTATCACAAAAACTGAATAATGATGAAGCGATGATTTATTATTATATTTTGCAGTTCACGGAGGAGGGAACAGCGGGCACTTTGCTCTTCCTCTATAGTGCCGTTTTAACGCGAACAATAAGCAAGTTTGTTTCGTTTCAAGCTTTTGAATATAGTTTTCATTTTCTATGAATTAAAATTTTTTTATTGCCACTCTCTGTTCTCCTAAAGAGTACGCAGCGATTTAGATTCGACAAAACAAATTCCGCTTACGATGACTAATAATGAAGAAGGTTCTTTAATGATTATTACTTTGCTATTGACTGGACGCGCTACCCCCTATATACATAATGGGGTTATTAATGTGGGCGATGAAAACAGTTATGTAAGTGTTTGTGTTTAACTTGTTTTTTATTTAACGCAAAGAAAGCAATTCACAGGCCATGCCTCAGTATGGTATTTTAAAACGATGCACAATTGGTCTCTTGCTATGGGAAACTGAGAATAGTCAGGTACGCCGTCCTATATCATATGCATATGTATTTAGCGATCCGATCGTGTATGCATTCATTTTCATTCGTCTTTAGTGTGCTTTAGTTTCACGTCAACCAGGCTCTCGTTTGAAAACACCCAACTATCCAATTTGGATTACTAGCTGTGCCGGGCATTATGGTGTTATGTTTAATCGTAATCCCGATCTTTTGCGTAATTATCATGCCGAGTCGCGTTTCGACTTGAATTATTATAGTTGTTCGGGTCGAGAGATCGCCATGACTATCGATAATCGTTCATGTAATGATCAGGTTATGGGCATGTTGGAACGTCAAATGTCTTCATCGGAGGGCAATAATTCCTTAAGTGGCGGCGGTAAAACGAATAAAGATGATCCAATAGGCGGGAAAGACGATAATAATAGTGGAAGTAATAAAGAGGAGTACACTGTTAATACGCCCCTATTGAAGTTGATACAAACTAAATGGGAGGAAGCACAAATCCGATTTCATGCACAACCTTCAATGCTCAGTTATTTATTTAGTACACAACAGTAAGCGATAGAAATAACAAACAACAGGATCAGTAATCCGACGAAAATAATATGTTGTTAGCTTAAAATGCAAATTAAAATCAAATCTCAATTGCAAATAGAAATCTTAACGAAATCATTTCAAACCGTTTAAATATATTGTATTTTCGCTTTTGCTTCAATATTAAATAAAATACTACTTAATGAAAAAAAAAACAAAAAAAAATTAAAAATAAAAAACCCATTTATTCCACTTGGGCTCAGCTCGTTAAGCGCAATAAAGTGAAATAAAACTCTACGTATTTTTATTCATTATCTTAACGATATCAAAATTTCGTTCTAGTCGTGCGATAAATGTAATCGAGCTTTTACCGCTACATTTCTATTCGTCCGATTAACTCAATATATATTTCGTTTCACTGACTTTGTTTTATTGACTCCTTTCCTAAGAAATCCGTGAATGTATTCTCAATAGTTCCGTTGAACAATTTTTGTTTTTTTTTACCACAGTTTATGTCAACAATCGTCCTAAGACATTGTCACCTCAATCATAATCCTCGATAGTTGCATACGGTTAGCATAGAATCATTTTCGTTCAAACCCTTACGAAGCCAGACGAACGAATGAAACTAGCTGCCTTTCTGCCTTACCTATGTTCTTTTTCGTCGACCTATGATCCCGAACCAAAACCAAAAATAAAACCTCTACATATCCATCACCAACTTCATTCCTCACGACAATCAAGTATCGCGATCGCAGTTGATACCTCATTACAGGATTGTGAAATAGGCAAGATCATTGTGCGAAAAGCACAAGTATTGATCTTAAGCACTAAGCGCTTGGTGTTCGATCGTTTCGGTTTCAGCATCTTGATATTCGACTTTTAGCTATTGCTATAACTTATATCGGTGACCATAGTGAATCTTGCTTAAAATAACCATTTTTCTAAGGTAAGCAATTGTGTTAACATGTGTATGGGATAGTCCAAGCAATGTATTGTATGCAATTCATCCAGACAATACGGTTTTCAGCGTTATTTATTGAAGGACGTGAGCCCGGGAAGCCGATTTCCTGCGTCGCGTATGCGATCTTTTCTCTTTTTTAATTTTTTTTCGGCTTATCTGGCTCTTTTTTTCAATATAAGTGGTGGGTATAAAAGGTTCGACCACTAGCGAATCTAATAATTTTATTTGTCTCACCACATTTTATCCCATGAGAATTTTTTTCTAAACAAAAATGTCGTAAAGAATTTTCATAAGCAAATCGCTATCGATTTTACCGATTGATGAGACAAACTCAAATCCAAGTGATGTACTCAAAATTTGTTTAGATAATATATAAGATTCTTAAGAATTTTATTTATTAATTTTTTCATTTTTATTATCATAAAAATATATGAAAAGAGAGGATTTTGTTTTTTTTGCATTTTGCATTATTTTATGTTATGTTTGATTAAAAATTATTATTTACATGTGTATATATGTATACCCAATTAATTTATAGGTTGATATTATAATAATATTTTTAATATATATATATACATATACATATATATACGTATATGTATATTTATATATTTGTGTATATGTAAAATACCATAATCCGTAGACTAACTAAAAGTTTCTCTTTTTTATCTTATATTCTCATACTATTCTTAAGAAATGTTTGTTGTTTTTTTTTTCTGTTTTTTCCGCTTTTTGATCTCATTTCTATAATTGTTTGTTTAACGCTGAACTAAACTGAAATAGCGATCGCGGTGTTACAGTACCGTCTAAACCATTTTCAGGCACATGCATGCAAATGCTTTTATTAACGCAAGAAAACTTGCATGTAACATATAAACACGCCTTTACAATATTTTATTTTTTAGATTTTGATTTATGTGTTTTGCCGCCGCCTACAATTTTTTTCGTTATTTCCAAAAAAAAAAAAAAATAGAAATAAAAAAAAAATAGTACATAAAAACAAGTAAGAAAGTTAAATTCGGTCGGGACCGAATATTTTATACCCATCACCGTTTCCCCTAACAAGGAACAAAAGAAGTGAAACAACTTAACCTTCATTCTCTATAATATGGAATGGACGCGTGAGTGTTTCTTTTTTTTGCCGCATAGGCGTGTGCGCGTGTGTTCCTTGAAAAGTTGGAATAACTTTGAAATTCTTTTGCAAATTTGTAGGCGATATATCTATTTTCGTTAACGGGAGCCTGTTTACCCCAGATATTATAGAGTTGGGCAGATATACAGATCGATAGGCCAACAGATAAACATGTTTTGGTGCTTTCTAAATTTGAAATTGGTCAAAACTTTGTAGACTTTTATAGAGGTTTTGAAGCTTGTTTCTGCGCCTTATAAAAGTAATTGAAAAAATATTTGTACAGGTGCTACAGTCGCGCCCATGAAATATGCGTTCAAATGTTCGTACATTTATCTGTCGAGAGCTTCATTTTTTCTTTGAGGAGAATGCTTACAACAGACATTACATAGACGGAGAGACGGATCGATCGTTTTAAAATTTGATGTTAATCACGAATATATATATAAATTTTATGGCGTCTGTGATTCTTCCTTCTGGGCGTTACAAACGTTTTGATAAACGCCTCATCGTTCGGTGATGGATATAAAAACACGTTTTTAATTTTGAAATTTCTGATGTTGATGGACGGACGGACACACTTATATCGATTTAGAATTTGATGCTGGTGACGAACATATATATATGCGTTGTAAATTTTTTGATGATGAAAATGTTTCGGCTACGGATATAACAATTAAAAACAGTATAGCGGGCGCGGTTAAGTCTTCTTTGTCATCGTTGATGACCGGCTTTGGACCACAACGAAACCATAATTGTGATGAGCAATGCTATATATGATAGTTGCATGAATGAATGAATGAAAGAATGGAATTTAGATTCCATCATAAATTCTTCTGCTTCGAAATATTAATGAAGTTTAAGTAAGTAACTGTTCACTGCATTATCACTGTTACGTTCTAGTTCAGCTATTACGATTTTTCTTGTATAATATTGTAATTTTAAAACAAATTTGTAGTATAATCGTAATTATTGTAATTTTTTTAATTTTAGTGTTTTTAATCTAAATCAATTATTTACAAAACATAGTAAAAACTGAGGAAAGAAAACTTATTATAAATAAGATAAAATCAAATGGAAAAGAATAAAATCACAAAAAAAAAAAAAAATAAATAAATAAAATAATAAAAAAATAAAAATACATCCTTTTATTTTAAGTACAGTAAATATTAATTCAACATTATACTTAGCAGGTAATAAACAAAATTTCCTTTTATATATAAAAAAATTTAATAAAATTTCTAATTTTTTATTTATATAAATTTTTGTTTTTTTTTTTTTTTGTGCTTTGCTTAGTGTGTAAACGATTACAGTCTTTAAAAAGAGAAAAAACTCGATTTTTTCCAATATCTGGCTATATATATATATATATATATACATACATATATATATACATACATATATATACATATAACTTAGTTAGTAAACCCGCTGGCCTTAGTATTTTGCAATTTTTTAAATTTTTGCAAAAAAAAAAAGAAAAAAAAAATTAAATCCACAGGAAATAAAGAAAAAGGAATAGTTTTTAACGCTTAATATTACTTTAAATTAAACTTGAATTGTAAATCCGATTATATTTTGATTGCCGAAGGAAAATGCATAGGTTTTCTCTTTCACACACAATATTTGCATTTCATATTATTCACATCCAATACATCCAATGCATTAATACTCTCACATATAAAAAAAAGACAAATTAACGAGAACACAAAAGCAATGTCCGTCCCTAGGCGATTTCTGATTAAAGGAGAAGATTAATCATACGATATCCATGCACAGTTAGTTATAAGGACTTTGTCAAATGAAGAAAGAAAACCTCACAGGTTTTTTAATCTTCGGACCTTAAAAAATATGTGGGCCTAAGTTCATTCAAACAAAACAAAAACTCGTTAATCCACAAGACACACGCACACATACACACACACGCACACACACACACTCCTCCTATACCCCCCTAACAAATGCGCCCATCTAAAGCAGCTTAGCATCTTATGCCAGTCAATGAAAATCAGATATTTTCCGAAAGTTGAGTTACCAACCTTTGCAGAATGATATTAAATTAAATGACATCCAATAAAATTACATAATATACATGAGCCGATAGCCTGTGTTGCTAGTGCTCAATCTCTTTTTTTAGTCTAAGAATTCATTTCATTAGTCTAAAATTAAAATAATAATATTAATAATAATACATAATATAGGGCTTTACAAAGTCTGTTGCTTACATTGATTTAAAAAAAAAAAAAAAAAAAATTCTTTTTACTCTATGACATTGACTGACGCTATTCAAATTAGGAAAATGCTGCTCTCTAATACTAATGCTGTTCTCTTCTAGTCTTCTAATGGACTATAAAATTTTATCATTTAAGCTTATATTGAAGCCCTAAACTTAATTCAAAATGATTGAGATATCGTTAATGTTAATATGATATAAACCGCGAATAGTGAAAAAATCAGTCCGTATTTCGTTATTAATTTTCACGTAGTTAAGTTGACATCAAATGCTCGACAGAGTTAATTATACGAGGTATATTCAAAAAAAAAAAAAAAAAAGGACTTTTTAAATTTTTGTGGACTTTGTTTATGTTGGTACACATGTCCCCATCCTATCAGATATTTTGCATTTTTATTTCTTGTTTGATGTGTATAAAGATTAGAAGTGTTTTGGAGTACTTGGCGATTTGTTGGCTCTTGAAATGCTCCAACGATGGTATTTGGCGAGACTACTTTAAGAAAAAAAAAACCAAAGCTGTTCAATTTATCCAAGATGTTAAGGATGATGCCCGTCCGCGACGGCCGAGCAAGTCAAAAAGTGATGAAAGCATTGAAGCAGTGGAAAAAATTCCCATTGAGAACCGTCAAATCACTAGGAGAAAAGTTCCCGAGGATGTCGGCGCATCACGTATTGATCGTGCCATGCAAAAACAATACCGTAACCAATTCTCGGCTCTCGTATTCAATGGATTTGGCTCTTTGCAAATTTTTCCTACCTCTGAGAAACTGAGCAAACCCATGAAAAGACGAAATTTTGTTATGATTAAGGAGATGAAGGCCGCATAGCGAATATCAGAAATGCTTCGAGATTTGCAAAAACCGCTGGCACACAATCACATCTAAGGGATATTACTGTGAAGACTGTAAAAAACAGCCATTGATCAATAAATAAATATTTTTCGAGAAAAATAAAAAGTCAGTTTAACTTTTGAACACACCTCGTATACTAACGGGATACATATATGAAAATATTTATAGGAATTCATAATTTGTACACCAACTTCGTGATCAATGAATGGATCCTTTTATACTTCAAATGTGTTTTCAAATGTAATATTGACTTTAATATAACATAGTTGGTATCTTTAGATACCATTAGATACCGATGATGATGAACTCCAGTTCATCGGGTTATTATAATTAAAGAGCATTCAGAGAATGACTTTTTAACTGACACAGATTTGCTTTTATTGAGAAGAATACTTGCGTTAGAGTGTTTCCCTATATATTGATTGAATGACAAATGAAAAGAAAAAAATCAAGTTGAAATTCTTACATATATATACATATATATATATGTGTATATATATGAACTTTTAACTAAACAATCGTTCGAAATAGAAAGCAAAATAAAAATTGTATATATATGTATATATATATATATATATAAATTATATAAAAACATTTATGTAACAAATACTGCTACAAATACTTGCAAAATAAATAAAATAAATAAATAAATAAATTAACCCAAAAAAAAAAAAAGGAAAAGAACATTCGTTCTTTTGCATTACCACCGCGTCGCCAATCAAATGCGATTTCCTTCGACCCTTATGTGTTTTAGTTAGGATCTGGTTAGAAAATTCGCTGCATAAAATTAGTTCAAGTTAATAGCGGAAATTAGCAAATAATGAATTTGTGGAATACGCACACATACACACACACACACATTTGAATTGTTTTCAGATGCAAAGGTAATGCATTTTACTTGAAAGGAAATATTTGGTATACATTTACTTTGGCATAGGATGACTCAATGGATAATCTTTGGAATATGTGAACTTTGACCTTAATCTTAAAAGTAGAGAGAATAAAGTAACAAACACGTGTTCAAAGAGTGCAAGAAATGACAGAACAAATTTGAAAAATTATTTTATAGGTCGTACGAGCTGTTTATCTAAATCAACTAAATTCGTTCCACCATATTTCGTCATATTTAAACTCTCGGCCGGATGATTGCTTTTCGTCTGTGTATGCCATGTCAATATCTATTGAAAAGTGAACATTTTTTTTCTAAAATATTTTTGCAGATAAAATTGAAATTCATTACTTACCTCACTGCAATTATTGGCTAATAATTGAATGTCGGCATTATCTAAAGGTGCTAAACTTTTTAGAAAACCATCTTCTTCGTAGCCCGGTTTATAAGGCATTTTCGCTTGCGGTCGTTCGTGTAAGAATTTCACACTTACTGCAAAACCGGCCATATCCACAGGATATTTTCGGCCACCGATCCAACCATCATAAAAGCCCTCAATGTTGCCTCCCTTAACGATCGGACTGCTGACGCCTAATTTTGTTACTAAACCCACCGGCCACATTGAAACCTTTTTAGTATAACGCATCTAAAAAAAAACCGAACACATATACATGACTCGATATACATAACAACGAACGAGATTTACAGAGTGTTTTACTTGTTCAAAAATATTGATGTCGTATGTATTATCATCGTCAGCGAAATAGAAGACACCGTCTGTAGCATTTTCTCTTAGCCAGAGCAAAGCACGATTACGATTTGAAACACCGCGTGGCTTAGCTTTTTTGCTCTTTCTATATTCGTCTGGCATAGGTGCTGTAAAGAAATCAATATTGCAAATAAATGATTTTTGATTCGATTGCAAAACACCCATCAAAATAGCTCATCGCATTGCTGGCGTGACATTGCAACACGCAATTTCACCCCAAAACGTTAAATCTCTTCTCATAGGAAATATTAGATGATTTCGGAAAATCATTTCAGTTATTCACAGCGTAGTTAATGCTATTTCTCACAGCCAAGTGAACTGGCGCTTTGTGAAAAGATTTGTTTAATTCTGCGAAATAGCAACATAAAAAAAGAAAAAAATTATTCAATGCATAGAGAAGAAGAAGGTGTATTGAGAGAAAATCATTGCAGCTAAAGCTCGTTTACAAAATTTCGTTTCGATAAATTTTGATATTGAAGATGTTCTAGAGCTCAGTTCAGTTCAAGCTGATAAAAACGAAATAAATGGACCGTTCATAATAACGAATTTATCGAGTATCAAAATTTCGTCTTTCATTTTAACCAAAAAGAAAAAAACCAAATGGCTTTCCGAACAACCTAACACATGCAGCTATAATAACAATAAAAAAACATTTGATTGTAGGAAGTGAAATAAACTTAACTAACAGAGCATAGACGAAGTATAAGGGTGTCCGTCCTATAAATGCCAAATCAATAGACGATATTTGTTGTTTAAAGTTGATTTACTGTGTTGTATATAAAACCGGTCTGCTCTAGCCTTATTACGCTCTCTTCCCAACCGAGCTGAGACTAACTTACAAAATATTCGTGAAGGTGCGTTTTTGTTTCGCTTTCGAAGCAAACAATAATCGGGCAACGCAACATTAGGTCTTGCGTTGCGAACTGATCGCTTCACTTTGTGAAAGTAGCTCGTAGTTCACTACACCTTCTCCTCTTACCGTAGGCACAAAGGAAATTTCTTCTTCTTTGAAGGTCGAATTTTCCTCAATCCAAGACTCGCCTCCAGTGACAAGCCACTTTTTGAAAAGGGGTTCTTTTCACGTCACTGCAGAAGCAAATCGCACGTTGAGAAGCGTTTCATAAAGTTGGTCTCCGTCAAGGCGTGTCGATTCCAAACTTCATATCATCCGATTCATGTATCCCATCTCGCGTACACTGTATTGCGGATTTTCAGCGATCCGTGTCCGTCGTTTCTGGGTCGTTGCGGCCTTCATCTTTCAAATCAACTCTAAATTTCTTAAACCAATTGCAGACGGTTTTAATACTACTGTTGTATGGTCCCCTTCGCAAAAGGCTTATGTCGTCTTAATAGAAAGCGTTCAGAATCATTCCTGATTTTCGCATTAAAGAATTTGGAATAGCATCAGTTAGTCTCTTTGTCACCGTATGCGAATAGACGGCTACTATTAGACCTACCTTCACTTGAAAAGCGAAGGTTTATATTAGGTATCTCCATCTTGGTTAAGCTAATATGTGGTGGCGTTGACTCGCCAGTCTGTTTGCGAAAGATAAACTTTAACGTTCTTCAAGAAACTCCATATTCATGTAGATATAATTGCAAGCTTTTTAACCCATTTAGGGTCCTTTGTAAAAATTGAAAATGGGTTTATAATTTGGGATCAGTCCTCCTTAATATGCGCAATCTGGCGAGCGCACCTTTCGTTTCGCAAACGGAATCAACTATATTTAGTATCGGGTGCCAAGTGCCCACTTGAACGCTCTGCCCTAATAGTTTAGCATTAGACTTTTATAAGATTTTTAATGTTTGAATTAATCTTAAATTAGTTAATATTTTGCATAGCACTCTCTCGCTCGCTCTCTCTTTCTTTCTCTCTCTATCTCTCTCTCTCTATATATATATATACTATGAAGGTAATTACAACTTACCGTATTTTTCGGACTATAAAACGCACCGAACGATAAGACGCACTTCAAGTCCGAAAGATACGGTATGTTCTGGAAATTCTATATTCACTCTTATCCGATCATTGATTGAAATTTTTGCAAGGAAATAAACAAATAAACAAAGGTGAGTTTATGAGTGCCGCGTTCCTCGTGGAGTGCTAGACAAAGGGCAAACCTTTCGTGGTTGCGTAATTTCTGCTTTATAAAATAAGAAATCATTAAACCTTTCGAAGATGAACGCTACGTACGTGTGAATGTCCTCAAATACTGTACGCATCCTGTGTTAACTAGATTCGTTTCAAAGGGATTTAATAACGCATATGTTACGCCACTTAGGCTAGTGAAACCCGTGCAAGTTACGTGAGAAGAAGTGAAAGGAAAGGAGGAAAGGGTTTTGTTGGTTTCTTTTTTGTAGCGTTTTAGAAAGATTGAAAGGAATTTTCGGTTTGCGGACTCTTACCTAAGTAATACTCATAAGGCACTCCAATCCTGTTCAGAGTATTTTCCACTATATCCGATGTGTTGTGCGCATCTTCTATTACCAGCCATAGCAGATTAATTACATGTTTTAATGTATAACCCAAACGAGTTAATTCTGCCAGTTGTTCAGGACGGCGATAAGTCGGGGTGATCACATACAGTGGTGGCTATGAAAAATTTTTAAGAGATTGTTAGAATTAAACTCAAAACAAGTTAGCAATGAAAATATTATTTATATATATATATATATATATATATGTATATATTTATGTATATATTTATACTATATATAGTACTACAGACATATATTTATAATTTGGCGTTTTTATTTTTTTTTTATTTTTTTTTTATTTTTTAATTTAAATTTTTTAATTTTAATGTCATCCTTTCCTGTATTCCAATACAAGATCGATATTTAATAAGACTGTAGAGCTTTAACTCTTTCTGTTCAAATTATTTCCTCTCATAATTTCTCATTGAGATAGATAGTCTAGTGCTGAGTAGATAGTAATGTGCTGGGTCATATAGTACCTGCAGCACAACACCAATTAGCGGTCATACGTCAATTGGGTATGATCATGCCGAAACTGGTTTAACATTAGCTTCATAGAAACACTTATTGATAGTTGATCCTTGCTTTGCATATCGCTTTTACGCCAGATGCTTTATTCGAACATATATATGTTTCGAGAAACTGAAGAATTGTTTTCGTGGAAAGCATATTTCTCAAAGATACCCACCCCGAACAGACAAAACCAGTGTGCTCGCATGCGTCATCTGCTCGAGAGAGATAACTCAAGAAATTTCTATAATCAGTCAAAACATTTGTGCCAAGTAAAAACTTTCCCCTATAACGGTGTCTGTATATTTTCTATAGCTATTCCTATATCAATGTCTATATGTATGTTTATGCCTATTCCTATGTCTATGCCTGTTATTCGTTTTGCTTTTGGTCGTAGTGGCAGCGCTCTGCCCAACTAATGACCTTGCACCTTCGCACAGCTTATCTCGAGATGGACTCTTGTGATTTGTTGATACCCACTGCCGAAGTATGTCATGCGAAAGACTATCACATTTCTTCAATCTCTCCTTGTCCGTCAGTATAACCATGGCGTGATTTCTACTTCCGGAGATCAGGAAAGCGTATTCTTCAAATATGCCCAAGCCGGACGACAGACGAAAACATTGTGCTTCTGCCTATGTGCTCTCTCTCTCTCTCTCTCTCTCTCTCTCTCTCTCTCTCTCTCTCTC